GGTTTAGGGTTTAGGGTCCCCCTAAATCATAATTCATCAGACAACAAAAAAGCGACAAAGGTCCCACTTGGAAACCCTGCATACAATCGCCACCCTGAACCTCGTGGACTAAAGTCAACACAACAGGTGCGCCTGGACAGTTTAGAGGGTTTAGGGTTTAGGGCCCTGCAACCCCCAAACCACCAAAGCCTTTAAATCCAAACTCCGGCGCAGCGGCACTATTGAACACCAAGCCGTGAACCCAAAACTGGCCCGTAACCCTGACGAAGCCATCCCAGATCTTCAAAATCAACCCCAAGATCTCGATAAAACCCTTGAAACTCTAAACCACTGCAACCCCTACGTAAAGCATACGTCTCGAATCGCCTCCGCTGTTTGGGGGCTACTGGCCTTGAGCTTTAAGGGTGTAGGGTCTTAGTGTGGTGGGCATTCGGGGTTCGGGTTCAGGGTTTAGGCTTTAGGGTTTAGGGTTTAGGGTTTAGGGCTTGGCTTTTGTTGTTTAAGGCTTCAGTTCAGGGTTTACGGTGTCTAAGGCTTGAGGTTTCGTAGTAGCATACAGACATGAACACTGCGTGATGAGATCCCCTCTTGGTTCCCACATGATTATACTTTGAGAGACCCCAAAGTGTTGTTAGAAAAGGCCCTCCGTGTGGGGGGGGAGGGTTCCAGGGTTTCGGGGTGAGGCTTGGCCTAGGATTAAGGCCTTAGAGCTTAAGGTTTAGCAGCATGTGTTCTAGGCTTGAGGTTTCTTAAGGGGGTTTCAGTTCAGAGCGGATGTCCTAAACCCTAAAACCTAAACCCTAAACCCTAAACCCTAACCTACATGTCTGGATGCCTGCTTCCATTCTCCGGCGCAAAACGACAGTCTACACCAGCGAGCCGGTGAGAGAAATGCTGTTTGGATGGTCTGACGAATTAGGCCAGCTCGAATTGAGAAAGAAACCCCCTGATACACTAAACTAAATAGCCATCATATTATGATGCACCGATCATCTAAGGAATTATGATCCCCTGCTTCGAAGTCAAAACCTCGAAGCCGCTAAAATCTGAAGCTGGCGAAGAAGGGGGAGCTCACCGGCGAAGCCTCGCGCGAACCCTCCGGGAGGGGTTCCCGGGGCAGCCCGCGCAGGCCTCCCCCTGCCTTCGGCCGCAGTGAACCTGAGGGCTGCAACCTCAGTTGGCTCTTTCAGCGATCTGTAGCGGATCTATATGGTGCTTTTGGGGGTTCGACGAGGTTCTAGAAGTTGTCATGGATTTCATCACCGGAGAAGAGAAGGATGAACACTATCACGAGAGTTCAAGGTTGCAGCTCTTCACTGTGTCCATCAGGGTTCAGGGTTCAGGTTTCAGCGTCATCACCATCTTCATCAACCTCCGCCAAGCTACGGGCACGAGAGAAAAAAAACAGCAACAACGAGTCCTCGTTGTTGATGGATACGCTTGACTTCCAACTGCTCCCCTAAGTTCAGAACTCGAATCCCTAGACTTGGAAACCCGAGCCGGAACCGACGAGACTTCAACACATACAATACTATATGAGTATATATAGCTGTATATAATTCCGTATAATTATATATAGTGAAAATACTAATATATATAAGCTATGATTATATAACGATGTATACATATATATATATATATATAAGTGTATATATATATAGCTATATTTACACATATATATATATATATATGTATGTATGTGTGTATATAACATATATATGTATATATATATATATGCTGTACAGGCCAAGGGGCCCTCTACGACACGGCGACGTCTGCAGGGATCGGAATCCGACACCAATGAGCCTCCACTCTAAAACCGGTGCTTCAAAGACGCCCAAGAGCGCTTAGAAGCACTTGCGGTGCACGATAGTCGGGCCGCTCTCGTCGTACTCGCCCTTGGAGATCCACATCTGCTGGAAGGTGCTCAAGGAGGACAGGATGGAGCCTCCAATCCACACGCTGTACTTACGCTCCGGTGGGGCCACCACCTTGATCTTCATGGTGGAGGGTGCCAGAGCAGTCAGCTCCTTGGTCATGCGCTCGCCGATGCCCTGGAACATGGTGGTGCCACCGGACAGCACAACGTTGGAATAGAGGTCCTTTCGGATGTCCACGTCGCACTTCATGATGGACTGGAAGGTAGTGTCGTGGATGCCGCTGGCCTCCTTGCCAACGAAGCTGGGCTGGAACAGGACCTCCGGGACGCGCTTGGTCATGCTAGCCCTAACCAACATCGAAACAAGCTGGACGTGGAAGACATACATTGCAGACCGGGCCAAGCCCAGCATTGCTTATGTTACGACGCTTTCAGCCTCTGGGCAACGGAAGCGCTCGGCGCCCACGGTGATGATGTTGCCGTCCGGCAGCTCGTACGTCTTCTCCTTGTCGCT